TTAGAATACCGTTTTTACGCCCGATTCTTCTACCATCAAACCCACATTCTGCATAACAAATGACACACCTCCACTCATCTTTTGGTGTGATCCTCTTCTTCTCACTTGTAAAACTGATATGATAAATGGTGCACCTCCACTTGTCCTCTGTATCTTTTTGTCGTGCATAAAGTATGAAGTGTTTCCCTTAAACTTAATTTATAATATCGATATTTATATACCACCAAACACAGCGAAAAACATTGTTTCGTTTGTAATTTATGTACAATATTTATATAATTGAATTTTCTGGTATTGAATTTTATTTTATTTTTTAATTTATTATATTATATTATATGTGTAACACCCCTGACCCGTACCCGACCCAGATACAAATCCGAGGTGTTACATTTGACTTTTCAAAACATATACAATTCACAAATATGAACCAAATTAAAATTTTTAATCAAAATGAAAAGATATAAATCTCTTTAATAAGATAATCATTTCACATACATTTTTACATAAAAACTTAATAATTTACATAAATATCAAAATGTAGTAGTTTACAAAATAGATCAAAGCATTTACAAATTAAACACTTAATACATGACAATCGTTACAATATTACAAAATACCTACATTTAATTTGTTTTGATCTGATCTTTAAAGGTGTATGTTATCCACGCTAACTTCACTCTTATGCTTCCTTCAAACCTACGCGTGAGAAAAATCACACGCTAAGTCGATGACTTAGTGAGGCAATACTAATAATGCTAACTTAGTAAACAAAATCTTATTTGTTTTATTCAAAATGTTTTACAAATAATTCTCATTATTTTTCATATCAAAAGTATACTTATGAATAGTTTCACTTTGTATATCTTTGTTCCAAATGCCCAAGGTATACTACTGAGAACGCTAGGTATTTGAGTACATTGAGGTTGTGCACTGATGTTGTCACCACAGCTTGTAATTTGCACCGAAGTGCCACATAATTGTCCCGAATGACCACAAAAGTTTGCACCGAAGTGCCATATAGGTTTGCACCGAAGTACCACATATTTGTCCCGAAGGACCACATAAAACCCTCGACTCTTGGGATACAAACTATACCTCTAATCCCCATACATATACTTTGGGTTATTAATCATATAATTATGTTCAATCATTATTCGAACTGTTTCTTATTCACATAGTTCCTCTCACATAGAGTATGTTCACATTCACATGTTCAAAGTTCACATTTCCATAATCATATAGTCATAAAACATAACTTGTATAATATAACTTGAATAAGACATTGAAATATAACATAAAAGAAATTATAAAGTTTTCAATCGAAAACACTGAGGTTGGCTTATCGCAAGCCTTCCTCAATTCTATTACAAAACCGAGAAGTTGCATTCACCTTTGCCTCATTGAAGTCTAATCCAAATCCTTAACCCTTTCGATTCGATACTTAATATGTCGAGCTGACTGGAAGTTGATTACGTTCAATCACTACACAAAACAATCGAAAATCAATATCGTTCTTCGAATCATTTATATCCAATCAAAATAACTTGTGATACAAGAAACTCTAAATTTACATTTCATGCTTAGAAGTATCGATACTACCTTTACAGTATCGATACTTCTCTTCAAGGGTATCGATACCTCCTCAGGGTACCGATACCGAATTGGCATTATGTAATCACTTCTTAAAAATGTATCGATACCATCCTCCTAGTATCGATACTACCCTATCAGTATCGATACCATCCTCTACTAGTATCGATACTTCCCTCATAGTATCGATACCCACTTCAACTGGTATCGATACTTCCCTTAAGAATTACACAGATTTAACCCTTGAAGTATCGATATTGTTCTAACGGTACCGATACTCGAAGCCCATAATAGCCATTTTTACCACGAAAATTACCCAAAAATCCTCCCAAATCTCTTATATCATCCCACATCAAGCCCTTAAACTACATTTCTTTCATTCAAACCAACTTTCCTCCAATTACTACTCACTAACATACAAAATCTTACTAAAACTCTTACATTTAAAAATCATACCATATTTTCAACCAAGCTCTTAATCATTTTTAACACTCCTAACTCTTAAGTTATATCATTGACAAGTCAAATATCTCATTAAAACTTCAAAAGCTACTCTAAATCAAAATTTCATTTCTAAACCCCTTTCATAAATTCACTTCTACTCTACTCATCTTATTGTTTTAATCCAATATAAGTTTTCCTTAAGTTATATAACATTCTCACTTCCAATATCAAACCAAAAATTAAAGGAAAACCACAAATTTCAGAATCTTACCTTTGGGAGTGGAGCTCACGTAAAAGAAGATATAAGAAATGGTTTCCAAACTTCTCTTTGATTTTCTTTCAAATCCACATGTCTATCTCCTTTAACAAGGAAGATAAAAAATCGTTCTTAGAAAAGACCATAATGCCCTTCTTATAATCCAATTTTTATATCATGTCCTAACCAAACATTTCCACAATAAGTTTTTGAATTTTTAAATTATTCTAATTAAACCACTAAGTTTTGAGTTCTTACATATTGGTCACTGACCCGTTGATTGAGATGTTACAATATGTTATCGTATATGTCGATACTAGCCTCAATATACCCCGCCCAGACTTGCGTAATATTACAAAAAATTTAGCTTATAATAATACAAATTACGAAAATTTTCAAATTAACTACCCGAAAATACCTCACCTGAACATGCCTATCAAGCCATTTTAACTTATTCTTCATGTAGAAAACCAAGCTTTGGAACCATTTTGAACGCGACTTTTACCCCTCTTACATTGTCTCGTATGTGCTGATATTACCCTGAATTGAAAAAAGTTACAATACTACGCCTCTACTCTTATAAATTACGAAAAAATTTAGATGAACTACCCGAAAAAACCCCTCGACTATGCCTATCAAACCATTTTAGCATTTTCTTTGTGCACAAAACAGGCTTATGAATCATTTTCAATGTGATTTTTAACCTGCATACAATATCTCTTATGTGTCGATATTGACCTCAACTGAAAGATAAATTTCAACAATATGCCTCTAATCTTATAAATTACAAAAAAAATTATAATAACTACCCGAAAATAGTAATTGAGTGTGCCTATAAACGCTTGTGATTTAGGGTGGAAACCTACATACCTCATTTTTTGTATAACGCGAGGTATGTAAAATACCATACGCTATAATTTGCCAAAACGTTTCAATACCTCGGAAACCTTGCGTTTCGCAAAATGCTATGTCATTAATTGAAATATTAAATTGCATTCCCCGAAAAAGTGTATCCACTTTGGAGGAGACTCGCGTTTCATAGAACGTGAGATAGTTACACGCTTTTTGGATAGTCTTACGTGGTAGTTTGAGGGTATTTTAAAAAAAAAACTTGTATGAGAGGTATTGGTCTAGTAATTTTTTTGGGTTATTAAACTAATAATGCCAAATTAGGCCTATGGGACCTTGTTCTTGAAGGCTCGATCATAAATAACAGGCATCTCAAGGGAAGGCCGTTTTTATTTTACCTGGGCTTTTTTATTTACCCGGGTTTCGTTTTGTGTATTTCTCTTGGTCAAATTGTACTATTAGTGCCTATACTATGCATAACTTATGAATTAGTCCTTTTACTCTAATTTGATATTTTTAGTCCCTGCTTTTTCAATTTTCAAATTTTACTCCTAAATCAAACAATAGACATTAAATATGTTAAGCTAAATTTTATTATTAATTCTTGTACGGTGCATCAATTATAGATTTAGTTGTTTGCTCTTCAATTTGAACAATTTTAGTCATTATAATTTAATCATGTTGTTAGTTTAATCATTTTGTATTAAGTCTAAAATTCTAGGGTTGAAAATTACATGGATTAAATTTGATCAAATTAAATATATAAATTAAATTTAAAATTTTTATTAGAGATGATAATTTAATAAGAAATCACGAATTTCGACTCAATCTAACTTGATAGGGTCAGTTTTTTTAAATCGAGTTCAAGTTGGGTTGGGTCAAGTCAAGTTTGGGTGGAGGAAGAAAAACCTCTGACTTGACCTAATTAGGGGATAATAGTGTAATTTTTTCATATAAATTTATAGATAATTGCTATAATACATCATCTCTCTATTTTTTTAATTAGATCATTTTTTATATCAGGTAAGATCAAATTTATATTTTAAAAATTTGGGCTCGATCGGATTTAGATAGAAGAAACATATTCTTCAAGCCGGATGAAAAGTATATTTTTCGGATAAGATCGAATTTGGATAGAAAAATCATATTTTTCGGGTCAGATCATGATAACAAAAAACCGATCCAACCTGACCCGTTGTTGTTTATGCTCGTGATATGGATCAGGTTTTTGGTTATCATGACCTGACTCGAAAAATATGGGTTAGGATCCACTTACACCGTGTAAAACTCTTTTAGTTTTACATCTTTTTAGGAACGTTAAATTAAGAAAAATCAAATAATGAGATTAACTTCTTACTTTTTTTCAGTGAATATATTCTCAGTTTTTATTGTTAGTCTCAACCTTTAATTTATCTCATTCAATGGTTCAAAAAAGATATAAAATTTAAAGATTTTTATACAATATAATTGGATTATGCCTCATATATATATATATATATATATATTAAAAAGTACCCCTTCCAAAACAAAAGAAAGTTCATGTTAAAATAAAAAATATCAATAGAAATTCATGTGAACATTTTAATTAAAATATTTATATATTTTTGATAAATCTAGAATGAATATAAAATAATATCTATTCAACTTTTACTAACAATTTAACAATAAACGTTAATATTCATACATAAAAATACTATTTCGATTAACAATTATAATAATAGCATACTACATTATGTTAAATTGTGAGGCACCAAAAGTAGAATTTGACCTTTATATAAAAGAATGTAAAAAGGAAAAAAATTGCTAGGTCTTGGGGGGATTCATAGTGCATTGACCGCAATAACCATTGCCCGTTGGCGCATACAGCGAAGCAAAACGAAACGATGAGGTAAGCTGAAATTTCCTGGCAAATTTAATTTTTTTCCCGAATTCAAAACCCCAAAATCCATTGGCAAAGTTGCAGGCACTCGGCAATGGAGATGCACGTTATGAGCTCAGTTCAGCAATCCCTTGACAATAACCAACCCCTCTCTTGCCAAGCTCTGGCTTCCCTCAGATCCCTTATTATCAACCCTACCACCTCCGATTCCACTCTCTCCTCAGTCCTCGACGCCCTAACTCGCTCTCTCCAACTCAGCCGCGACTCCGTCTTCCTACACCACACACTTAAGCTCCTCGCCGACCTTGCCGCTCGCCGCCCCCACCTATCCCCCGTCGCACTCGACTTGCTCCGTTCCGACTCATTCTTCTCCTCCGCTTCGCCTCGCCTTGTTGGCGAGTCACTCTCCGCTCTTCTTTCACTTAATTCCATCGGAAACGACATCGACGCTGCCCGCTTCGTCTCCCTGTGCCTCGGCCCTTCGGTTCCTGTGCGACTGTTTTTATTGAGAAATGCTGACAGGCTTGCGGTTAGGGAATCGGTGTTGTTAGCCGTCTTTTTAGGGTTTACGAGGGACCCGTTTCCATATGTGAGGAAAGAAGCTTTGCATGGATTGGTGAAACTGTGTAAGAATGGTGATTTTGATGATCGTGATGTTATTGAGGGATGCTATTGCCGTGCTGTTGAACTGCTCCGCGACACTGAGAATTACGTTAGATCTGCAGCAGTTCATGCCGTAAAATACTATGCTCTCGAAGTTTTATTTTAGATTAGTTTCCCATGTAATTGTTAATTACATTTGAATTTGCAGATTTTCATTTTTCTCTCGTTTTCTGGATTTAGGTATGTGAATGGGGTAAATTGCTTGTTATATCCAGTCAAGACGGGAACAAGCAAGACTTGTCGGATGCAGTGTTTATCCAGGTATTTTTTTTGGAAAAAAGGGCCCCTTATATTTACTGTATATTTCTACTCGCATTGTTTATTTTACAGAAACTTTAAAATTTGGAATTAATGTGGATTGGATGATTATTTTGCATGGTGCATCTTTTAGGATGTTAGTTGAATATGATATTTTAAACTTTTTTCTTCTTTTTTGTTTTTCGATTTACGATTGCTTGCAGCTTGGCTGTATGGTAAGAGATATGAGTATAGAGGTAAGGCTTGAAGCCTTTGATGCTTTGGGGAAGATAGGACTTGTATCTGAAGATATCTTGCTACAAACCTTGTCTAAGAAAGTCATAGGGGTCAACAAAAATAAAATATACAAACCAATTGAAGGGCTTGATGTTTCAGCTTCTTCTGTTGCTGGAGCTTTTATACACGGCCTTGAGGATGAGTTCTCCGAGGTAAAGCTTTGCTGATTCTTTAGTTATCCTTGGGTTTTTTTCACTTATACAATTGCTTTATCTCATAGAGACTGGTACTTTTAACTTTTGGCCTTTTTTGGATCAACTCAATCTCGTATTCCAGTTCTAAGTACTTTGCTGGCACTTTGAGGTTTCGAGGTTTCGGCTTGGCATTGTTCTTCCAGTTTTATGTACCATGGTGATATTGAATGTGATTGGATCATTAGGGTATATTATTAATGTGGGTAAGACTCTCATCGTGGCATAGTAGACACATCCTGTACAGAACAGGAGTGATGGCGGTTATTGATAGACCACACTTTTTTAACTTTATCTAAAGTTTAGTCATTTCTTGCATTTCAACAACAATTCCCCCTTGACATGACCTTTATTTTTGATGCTGTCTTTGCTTACTCTGAAGGTACGAATGTCTGCCTGTTTCTCTTTGCGTACGCTCACTGTCTTCTCTTTGCAATTTGCTTGTGAAGCCTTAAAACTGATGATGGACATGCTGAATGATGATTCAATAATTGTCAGGCTGCAAGCTCTTGACACAATACATCACATGGCAACTAACAATCATTTAAAAGTTGAAAAAATAGACATGCACAGGGTAAGGGTGCTTCTTCTCTTTTCATTTTCCCCTTAAAGAGTGATATATGTATAGAATATCTAAACTTTTATATAGTATAAAAGATGATCAATGAGCAAGTGCATAGGACAAGGTGCAGATAGATGTTGGAATATTTTCATTTGATGTGTCCACTGTGGAATTATCATCAAGACATTTTCTTTGCCCCTCTGATGTTTCTCTCCCCTTATCTTTCTCTTGTTAAAGCCATGACTAGAAAAATTGTCTGTGGGTGCAACTTATTTGTTAAGTTTTGATGCCTAACAATAGAATTAATTTTTGGTTCGAACTTCGAACCCATTATTGCCTGCTTTAAAAAAAGACTCTGTCACTTAAGTATCATTTTTGGCAGTTGCTGAGCACCCTTGTTGACACCAGTTCTGTCATAAGATCCTTGACAAGGAAAATACTCAAATTAGCAAAGTTGCCGCAGTTCGAGTTGTTTAAATTGTGTATTGATGGCCTTCTTGGAAATTTGGAGACATATCCACAGGTTGTTCCCTTTTATCCATTTGCTTCTCCAAGTGGCCTTTTGGGCTGCGCCGTCTATATTTTCAATTTTGTGCTTTAATATCAGCCTAGCATTTATAACCATCGGCTATTGCTTTTTTCCTGCCATCAGGATGAAGTTGATGCCTTCTCTGTTCTTTTTCATATTGGGAGAAACCACGGGAAGTTCACAGTTCACATTATCGAGGAGGTCTCTCCAGAGGTTAGCTGGGTTTTAACGATATTTTATGTATTGCCTCTAGTTTGATGATAGTATCTGCTCAACCATGAAAACAATAGTATCATTACAATATCATAACCAAGTTTTCCCTTATTCAAATTTATATAGTGAGAGTGAGACTGAAAATGTCTTCGAAATGATATGTCAGTTGTTCTATAGACAAAGAAGTTTATGTTTCCATGGATTTTTCCAGTACTTGTGCAGAATTTTCCAATTTTTAAAAAAATTCAGACACCTAACAAACATAACTTGTACAGGATAACAAATTAAGAAACAACGTATATTCAACCTGATTAAAATAGTTGAAGTCAAGAAATCATCGAAGCAATGTGGTCAATTGCTGTATTGCTGTCTTATGTTGTGACTATTTGTGAAATGACATTGATCATTCAATCTCTTTACCTTTTTTTTCTTACACCAGTTGGAACCAACTTTTGGAGGCAAATTGGGCTTTGATAGTACGAGGGTTGGAGCATTTCTTGTGCTGGCAATCTCAGCTCCACTTTCACATGAAACGGATGTTGGTGTTATTCCACCTAGAATATTTTCTTATGCGGTTACATGGCTTGGGAGAATCTCTTATGCTTTAAGCGATATCATGAACCAAGAGATGCTTTTGGCTTACTTATCCAAGTGCAGTAGATCCTTGGCAATTTCTCTTGCTGACTTCAAAATAAAAGAGACATTGCCTACAGTAGAAGGTGATGCCCCAATTAATCTCTGTTCCACAGTTGATAGTCCTGTCAGTATGCCCTTCTGGAAAAATAGTGGAGGGACCTCTGACTATCATCATAAAAACAGTTGGGTTTAGGAAATTCAGCTGCTCCGGCAGAATACGAGCTGCTGGGGGAGCATTCGGAATTAAGAAAAGATGTAAACCTTATATTTCAAAAGGTCAAGGACTTCTGGTCATTGGTACCGTTAGGCTGCACTAATGAAGCATTGAAGGGTATAAGGTAAGTAATGGAATTAATTAATTTTCTCCTTGATGCATTTTATTACTACTAATTTATTGTATGCGTGTGTTCCTTTGATGATATAATACGTCAATATTAGCATTTGAAATAAAATTTATATTTCACAACTAAATAATAATTAATTGTGTTATTGTAAAACATAGTGTAAGTCGGTAGTTATTTGATCAAACATTTAAATTTATTAACTTTAGTAGATGATTCATGTTAAATTATCTTAAATGTATCACTGTTTAAGTTAATTAAAAAGTTACTTATAGTGAATATTGTAGTAAATTCTATAAAAAATTATGCAATAATTTAATAAGCCAATTCTATCTAGGTTTAATAATTTAAGATAAAAATTAATGTTGAGGATAATTTGTTTTAATATATGACTCGAGGATGATAAAGAAATAAATTTATAAATAGTTAGTCAAATTTTATAGGTGGTCTTTTGTACTATGTGTTTTCAGCGGATTTAGCCGCTCATCACAATTCAATCATTTATAGCTCCTCTACTTTTCTAAATATATATTTTTCAGTCCTGAGACTATAGGCTTTATTTCTACTGACATGACAAGAAGCTTTCCCTCTACTTTTCTAGGAAATGTTTGATATTTCAATTTAATTAGAAAAATATTTAATTTGATAAATTGTCAGGGGGATATATAGATGGGTTTTATTTCTATTGACATGACTAGAAGCTTTCCCCAGTTTTTCATAATCTTATTTTATGCAATGAAGTTCTGTTTTGTGACATAAATTATCATGCAGTGGTCTCTACTCTCTACAATATACCAAGCATTAAATACATAGACATATATATATGTGTGTGTGTGTGCGCGCGCTTCTTTCTTCTATCGACGGGAAAACTTTCCTGATTTTTCATCTTGTTTTTTGCAATGAATTTGTTCTGTTTTTTAGGCAAGTTATTTGTTCAGTGTCTTTGCAAGAAAATGATATTGAACAATTGGAATTATTTACTTCATGTCCATGACCAAATTAATTATTCATTTTATGAGAACCATGTCGGTAGCCATGTCATCTTGGACTATATATGTACCATAAAGTTTTGCAATCTTTTGGTCTGGCAGGGCCTATAAGGAAGAAGTGGCATCATTTGACAAGGAGTCACCTGGATCTGCTGGTGTTGTAGCGTTTACTCGCCAGTATCTCCGAGTTATAGAAAAGCTTGCTGCAGTGTGGGAACACCTTAGACCGACAAAAGCATTTCATCCGTACAGAGTGGAAAATTTAGAGCTTCTATTTGCGAAATTAGACTTGAGGCTCAGGGAAATCAGGAATAGGTTCGTTGGTTTGTCTAAAGGAGAGGAGCTTCAAATTTCGGAACTGTTACTTGTGGCTTTGCTTCTGAGGTTGTCCAAAATGGAGATTTGCTGTTATGGTACCACAATGAAAATATTGTCGTCTACAGTTGCCCACGCCGAATTTCTCCACAAGGAGGGATCTACTGAACCATCTAATTTTATAGTCGAAGTTAAGAAATCATTGCACAATGCTGACTCTTCGAGCAGTGGTAGTACGTATGAGCCAATTCTCTTCGAGAAGTTACTCAACTCCTTTTCCCTTCAGCAGTTTGTGTTATGTGGAACTCCAAGGTACATACATTCGGAATTAGAAGTTCCAGGTAATGATTCTGAAAACCCTCTTCCTTTTATTCCAGGACTCCCTGCTTCTATACCACTAGCAATCACTTTGCACAATCTTTCGACTGAAAGTAGGTTGTGGTTGAGGATTAGTACGAGTGAGGAGTCGACTCAGTTTGTATTTTTAGATCCCAACCTAATCCGTAGTGGAAACAGAAGCAGCAATGAGGTTAGGGAATTCACATTTGTGGCTCCCTTCTATCAAACACCAAAAGCCATTTCGTTTACATTGTGTGTTTCTTTAGGGATAGAATGCTTTAGTGAGAATGTCGATCGAGTCAAAGTTTCCGGGGGTCCAAAACGTGAACTAACATACCTCTGCTCAGAGAAAGAGATTTTTCTATGTAAGAGCGCTGTGCGTTCTGCGTTTATTTAGAGTACAATCGGTAATGAGCTTCTCTGCTTTCGGGTATTCGTACGTATAAAACGAATCTTGTCTAGATGACCCTAATGATCCAGGCAAGGGTCACATGCATGTGGGTTTGCCCAAGCCGCAAGAACCTTTTTCATTGTTTGCCTTCGTTTGTTGCAAGTTTTAGTTTATGACATTTTATCAGTGATGTTAGAACAGGACCGGACCAGCTGATGAAACCAGTGGTATTAAACTGGGCATGCAGCGAACCGGTAAAAAATGGGGAACCGAAACAATAAGCTGATGATAACCGGTTGAATCAGCTAGAAAGTCATTTTAAACCGGTTTGTATCTTAATTCTTTAATTATTGTTTCAGAGTTTATATTTTATTTTATCTGATTTGAAAAGTTTATAATTAGATAATAAAAATTAAAGTTAAAGACCAAGTAAAATCCTTTTAGCTGCAAATCTCTTGTAATTTTGATACTATAGTGATTTTTCTCTCTTTATTCGTAATTCTTTTTAAAGATTTTCTTATATAAATCTGTATGTATATTTAAAGATTATATAAAAATAATATATTTTCAATGGAACTAATAAAAGGTTAGCCTTTGATGCCAGTGCAAAAGTTTTATGGTAATAAAGATAATAATGTGAAATATTGGATATATAAAAAATTATAAATATTTGTTATTAAAAAAATATAACAAATTTCTCAATAATCAAAATTATATTAAACTTTGAGAGCCAAGTTTCCGGAATCAGGAGTAATAGTTGAGATTTTACTATATTACACACTTTAGCTTTGGGTTCCTCCACCAAAATCCCCGGACGTTTTGTGCCTACTCGAACTGCCAAGCCGAGACCGCTTATAAGCATTTGCTCTATTTACTTCTTCAAGCATCTTCCGATCCACGACTATGTCGGAATCAATCACGGTCTCGCCTTCCTCGGTTTTCTTGCCTTTAGGGTCGGGATCCGGAATGTCTATCTGGCTTGCAGTCTGCATGCTGATGTCGGACACGCTCGCCGACGGCGAATGATGTCGTTTCTTGAAGAACAAGCAAACCACGGCGCAGTCGTCGACCTTGGAGCCGGGATACTTTGTTCTCCATGCTTGAACCGCGTAATAAACCAATACCTTTGCTGCTATGGACTGCCTCTTTACAGAGGCAACTATTTGTATCACCTTATTGTTTGAAAGCACATCCCACACCTGCATCAAAATTACATAAAAACACTGCATATGGTAATTTATGTGTTGAAATTGGTTGAATTTTGGTATCACTCCCTCTGCTGTACTCAAATTTGGAATTAAATCCCTATTCTTTTGACGTAAAACAATTTAGTCCCTCCCGATGTTTGATCCTAATTATGTCCCTGAATATGAACATATCAAACTTTGCATTCTTACCCCATCAGTTGCCATCACTACAAATTCATCTTTGGATGTTAGCGTTCTATGAAAAACTTGAGGGGGTTGAGATAAGTCCATGATCCTTGAGGCAGAAATCACCTAAAGCCCTCGACATGGCTAGACCAGGGCAATCTTGGTCTTGCATCCATACTCGCAGTACATTCGGTTCTTCTTCCATCGCAAACACCCTGCCGCCGTTCTTTTGGATTCTTTCGGCTTCGCTCGGTATGCTCGGTTTCAAGTCGACCGTGAGTTGGACCGGAAAGAGTTGGTTGTTGTTGTCCCTAGTGCCAAGAATCGCTCGAGAATCCCCCAAGTTTGCAATGATCAAGTGATGGTCCTGAAAAATTTTGGCATGATCATGGCAACAGTTACAACTAAAATATATATACATGTATATTCTAGATGATAAATGCATGAACATACCAGCTTAACAAGGGTTACAGCCGTGGTACCACTGCAATAACTATCAAGGGAATCGTCTATGCTAAGATCTTGGTCCAGTTCTTGGAAAGATCTCATGAAATCCGCCTCCCATTGTTTGTGACTTTCGTCATTGTCGCTTTCCTTTTTAGCTCCGTGTCGAGGCTGAGGCCGATGCACCGTGGAAAGCTTCAAGGGCAAGGCCTCACTTACGTGGCGTGCGACCTTGTGACCCGAGGGACCGTGGCCGTCGAATACACCGCAGAAAAACATGTTCTTCTCGCCCGTGAAGTTCTGGACCATTTAAGGAGATCAACATCAATTTGAAGCAGGGACAAAGAAATGACACATGGATGTGTACCAAGGCTGGTCTAGGAAAATGATGTGTAGGTAAACTCCAAGTTGATATATTAATTAAGCTCCCACCACCAAAGAAGCTGATACTGAAAATATCTATAAGATCATGACACGATGATGAATTGAATTCCCTTTGTTGATAGGAAAATATTAGAACAAAAAATTACGACTAGTAATTCTATGAGGAGCTGGACGTGAGAGAATTTACCCAATTTAAGATTAAGATCCTTTCTCTAGCTATGTATAATGACTTATATATCGATCATTAGTGTTTACGTCATAGTTAGGATCATTATGATTATTCATAGATTGACGTGACTTGTAGATAGTATTGTCATATATAGTTATAGATCTAGAAATATTTTTAATAATGACTCGTAGATATTTTATGAATCATAATCTTATACTATTCGAAACCAGAATAAAGCAAGAGATGAAAAACAAGGGAATGGCGAAGGAAATGACCTCCCAAACGGTCATGGCGTCCTGATTGATATTCTTCTTGCCCTTGCGGGTGTACATAGAGGTGTGGGAAGAGGAACCCTGCAGCCTGATAATGGCGCCATTATGCCCGATGGAAGTGATGTTATTATCATCATCATCGTGATGACCATGACCATGACCACCCCTTTCGTCCCTCTCCTCCGACTCGGGTTTCCCATGCCGTCTACCTTTGTATGTGCATTCCGTAGAGCAGCACGCACCCATATTCGTGTGGTGGGTGGGTGTGTTCCAGGGAAACCAACCTTTTTCCCCTTGAAAAAATCCCCAAAATTTTTCGAAAAAATAATCGAGAAACCAATCTGCAGCACCCACAAAAAAGGCTATGGAAGTGGGGAATTCCAGCCCAATTTGGGGGGAACAAAACGAAAGGGTGGCGGAGGCGAATACCTTGGCAATGGTAGTACAAGAACTAAAGTTTACAAATTAATATACACATTAATTTTGGATAATCACATAAATTAAATTTACTAAATATTATTATAGTTTGTTATTACGTCGGGATATAGAAACAGCTAATTTTATTTTATTAGGCAGTAGTACAAGATGACTCATTCATGTCTTTCTTTTTTTCTGTTCTTTATCTTCTATTTTCATTTTTACAGTTAGAAAATAAGTTTAAAATAGTTAATCTTGATAAGTTTTTAAACGGATAGATTTAGGGTGCGTTTGGATGGGGAAAAGAAGATTACTAGGAAAAAAGTTTTTTACGGAATGTAATACTATGTTTGGATTGCAACGATTCTCAATAGGAGATAATAAATCATTTCTAATAGTGACATTTTAGAAGCTTATTACTAAGAATATTATTCCCCCAATCCCTTAGTATTTATTTATTTTTCATGACTTTAGAATAAAATGCCCTTAAACAATTTTTCCCCAAAAATATCCTTCTCCTAACCGTAATAAAAAAAATTCTACGAAGAGTAAATTACAAGTTTATCTTTAAACTATTTTAGATTTACAAAAAAAATCCACAAATATAATTTTATATGAAGTTCAAGAGTTAAAATAAAATTAAACCCTTTCATTAAACTAATTTATCTTTTAAATTTTATGAATTTAAATTTTTAAATAAAATAAATAAATTAAAAATAATAAAATTAATATATTTTCTACGATCTTTTATACAAATATTTTCATTTGAATATTTAGAATTCAATTTGTTTTAAAAAAACAAATACATAACAAGAACAATTTGGTAAAATATACATTCCAGTAATCTTTTATTCCTTTAACCAAACATTGTAATCTTACATTCCTACTAAAAACCCCAAACACAAAAATACAACATTTTCAGTAATGTGTTAGGTAATATTAAATTTCGGTAATTCTATTCCCAAAAATAATATTATATTACATAAACCAAACACACCCTTAGGAATAAGTATTTGTCGGATCATAATTAACTTTTATCTATTTAAACTTAATTCAAGTATTCTATCTCTCCAATTACCATTCGAACAATAGAAAAATGTATAACTGAACTTAACAATAGAAAAATGAAAAATTATTTACAGCAAAAAAGGAATAATTATAATGAATTGACTCAAACTTGAATTTTCTAATATATATATATATATATAAATCTACGTGGAAATTATTTTTAATTTTATACCTTTTAAGGACGATTAGATTAAAAAAAATCAAAGACTGAAATTAACTCTTTTTTTTTAAAGTGTATCTTATACTTTTCTATTGTAACATTTGATTTCTCTCATCAAATAGTCTTCAAAAAGTGTAAAACTAAAAAAAATTACAGAATATAATTGGATCTTGCTCCTTTATATATATATATATATATATTAGATAAAATAGAGATCTAATTAAAGAAAAAAAAACATAGAGGGAATATCATTACAATTGAAGATTTTTACCCTAAACTCTGTAATATAATAATGGTTAATCTGGAGCAGATCCACCACAACCTACGCAACACCAACGGGGCTGCAATTAAAACTTTTAATGCATCGAAGGGGCTGAACTTAATCTCTAGGAGTGCAGATAGATGCATAAATGTCAGAAATCTAAAAATTAAATCATAAAATATCCAAATCCCCAATCCAAATTCCCACAAATATGTTGTGAAGTAGATGTATGAATTCCATGATTAATATTTGTATATATAGTTTGACCTTTACAGGCCTAAATGTGAAACTATGAATACAAGCAAGAACGATGATGCAACCAAGTAAATACTAAATTTTGATGGACAACAACATGAACAATAACTCAGAAATGAAATAAAAAAAACACTTTGGATGTGAGAGTTCATATCATATAAGCCATTACAGAAACAAGGTAAAAGGCTTACTTTTCACTTGCCAGTCACCACCATTGATGGACAAGAACACCGCTGTCTCGGAGCGAAGTGAACAGTTGCAAGCATTGGCCGTAATTCTTCTCGTATTTGGTACTTCTCTGACCGGGACAACACCTTTGCCACCTATTATAATGGCATTCGAGGAAGATCTCGTCGATCAAACAGATTGCACCTGTTTCGAATAGACGAGGAATCAAGTCGAATTCGGTTCCTTCGACGTCCATTTTCATCACTACGAAATCACTTTCGGTCACTGTGTTCTTCAACCACTCCGCGAAATCAAACCCTTGAATCTTGTCCACCTCGCCTCCGCTCGATTTCACAGGTTGTATTCTGCCCATCCCTCTGCCTTTATCCTTGAGTTCACTCACTTCTTCCTGGCCAGGATCGCGATTGATCTCGAACTGCAACGTCTCGTTCCTTACCCATGCGGCGTAAGGCAACAATGTAACCGTTTTCTTCTTCGAATCATATTGTTGATGAAAATGCTTATCTGCTTCGATAGCATATACATGAAAGGTCTTGTTCTGTTTGGGGTATTGTTTTCGGAACCAGCTTCCGATGCTCGAACCGTAACTCCTAGCACCAACATCGACATATACATATCTACTCTTGAAGCTGATATCAACCATTGATGGCAAATACTTCACATTGTTTATATTTCTTTTCAAGGTGATCCATGGCTTTAAGGGCTCCTCCTCAATAAGCGGCTCTGCCTTCTCCACTAATTCTCTTTTATGCCCCGGAATCGAGCACTTATTACCAGAATTACCATCTGGAATCTTCTTGCCGCCATGGTTAAGAACTCCAGCTTCTTTTCTCAATACAATTTCTCTAACAAAAGGCATTGATGAATCGAAACCTTCCATATCAAGCATTTTAACTAATTTGAAAGAACTGAACAAATCAAGTAAAGAATTCAAGCTATAGGTATCATTAGCCTTGATGTGGGCCACTGCAAACCCTTCGGGTTTGAGTGTCCGAGTGATTTCCGACTCAAAATTCGAGAGACGCGCCGATACATCAAGGCGGCCACCACCTGTGAATATGAAGTCAAAAGTATTATCATTGAACGGTATCTGATGCCCCTCACCTTTAATCACCAAGGGCTTGGCCGCTTTCTTTGAAATTCCGATGGAATCTTCCACGCCTATATCTTTCAAGGTGAAAACTTCTTGTCCCAAGGGTGTCTCCACGCAGAGAGACTTGGAGTGAGGCGAGAGGTAACCGTCAGAGATCAGATCTTGGAATACCGAGGAGTAGAAACGGACAGCCCTGATCCACTCCTTGCTGGTATAGAGTTCCCGGCGAGGATCGGCCCGTGAGACGGCGTCGTTTCCGACGATGGCGGAGACTCCAGCACCAGGTATGACAAAGTTGAGACTCTGCGGCATGGAGAAGAAGCAAAAGTCGCCGCGGTTGCAAGACTCGCCGGTGATTGTAACCACGTAAGCAAATCGGACGACCAGGATGAAAACACCGAAAAGAAGAGCTCGCGCCAGAATATTCCTGAAAAGGCTAGGCTTCCCTGTAGCAGGTTCCATGATGACAGTAACTATATAGAGGGAAAAAAACAAAAAATAAAGCTGTTTTCGTCGTTTGAGATGTATCTGTTGGAATGTGGATTTTAATCAACAAAAATGGGAAACAATCGTTGAAAATGGAGGAGAGATTAACGGGAGCAGAAACGAGCAGAGGTATGGTTGGCGCCGACGAGAGATCTGGAAAGTAAAGGAGAAGGAATCGGAAAATAGAAACGGAAAGGAAGGGCAAAACGGGAATGCATGTTTGTTTCTCTCTCTGTTCACGGAGTGAGGGAGTCCATAACTATCAGTTAGCTATCGCTGCAGCGGCGGCGGCGGCCGTGGACGGTGGCGTTGAGAAAGAAAGCGGAAAGGGGATGAGTTGGAGGGAAGGAAATTGAAATGAATGTTTGGATGGAAGAATAGCAGTGGGATAAAGTGAGTTGGATTAGGTGACCCACCGTTCTCTAGAAGGTGGTTTCAACACGGATAAGCCAACTCAGCAGCTTGTTGGAAAAGGGGAAAGTGAGTTTATTCGGCTATAATCCCCGGCACACTATTCCTTACTTCCATATTTAATTTACAAGTAAAATATTATATCAAATTATAAATTTATAAAAAATTATAAATTAATAGATTATATTTAAAAAGAGAATTATTAATATCTCTTGATGTTCTATATTCAAGTACCAGAAATATTAGGAATGAAGTTTTTAATAATTCACATGTCAGCGAGTTTCACTTATAGCCAAAGAAGGATAGAAGATATCTGCAATTGAAAATATTATAAAAAATATAATTTTTTTTGAATTAATGTAATTTAAAATAATATTTTTTAATATTTTTTATAAAATTAAAAATAATATAAAAAAATAATATTTTTTATTAAACCACAAAAATTAAAAAAAAATATTTTAAATTACATTCAACTTAAAATATTAATAAGACGTCAAAATTTTCGAATACGCTCGCTTTTTATCGCCCTTTAATTTTAAATTAAACCATCGTTACTTAGACCTTTCCCGAAGAATAAGATCTTGTTCTACTGGAAAGTGGTCATCGGACAGCTGTTAAGGGTGGGTTCGTGAAAAATGTGAAGAAAGAGATGTACCATTCACACTCCTTGGATATCGTTGGGCGTAGGGTATTAGTTCCAACTAGGGCCGGCGCAAGGACAGGGACAGATACAAAATAACATAAAAACGGTTGAGGGTCCACCTGTGCTTAATGCCAATAGCGGCTAAAGCAAAGGCCCTGCTTCCTTTTTCCTCTTTCTTTAGATCACGCGGTCACTTTCACCATAATTTGGATGGTGGAATTTAGATATTTATAGGCTTTCCATTTATTTTTAAATAATTTATTTATTTAAATATTGAAATTATTATTTATTACAGACTTGAAGTAATTAGAAACGTTTGCTTTTGGCAAAATGACCACAATAACGTGTTGAGAATATTTAATTTCCATAATAATATGGTTCCCTAATTAATTCTCCATCTAGGGTGATTTCTACGTTACAAGGTGAAAGACTTCAAGAAATCTAGGCGTCTTCAGGAAAAAATAAATAAAACCTCTGGGACTACCCGATGTCTTTAGGCATTCAGGTCTATGCAAAAAACCCCGGAATTACACGACATCTTCATGCCAACGTTCAGCTTGCAAAATGTCCCGAAACTACGCGGCATCTTCAGGCCTACTACATGGGACGCACGAAGACTGATTGTTGTTGCTGCACCTGAATCATGATGTCATTATTGGAACTAATTAGCACATTTTTTTGCAGGTTGCTAATTTACATTCCCCAATCGAATACTCGAAGTAAGATGGAGTAACAATATTTATTTTATTGAAAGAAAACAAAACTAGACTAAATTTTAGTGAACAATGTTAAACTACGATACATTTAATTTAATTTTAATGTTTATAGACTTTAATTTATTTTGTTGTTAAGTATTTTTCTATATAATTTGTCTTAATTAAAATTTAAGCTTGTTGTTAATTAGAAAATGTTACATGATATTAAATTTAGGTAATATAAAGTAAAAAATAATACATGCAAAATCAATTAAACTTTTTTTGCGGCATTTTATGAAGAAAATGCCACTAATGGCATACAAATTTGTGGCACATTTTACCATAAACGCCACTATATATAAGAACATATGGTGATGCTTGAGAAAACAAACACCGCTATAGAGTTTGACTTTTTGCAACATTTTTGAAATAAAAAGCCACTATAGGTCATGACCTTTTGCGACATTTTTATTCACAAACACCACTAACTATTGTGGCGTTAGCTTTAGGGATGGCAACGGGCCGAGTTCGGGCCGGGTATTGGTCCCCCCGTCCCCGTCACCGTTTAAAAAATCGGTACCCGTCCCCGTTTAAAAAACCGCAGGGATTTAAACGGGGATCCCTATCGGGTAATCGGGGAAAACCGCAGGGAAACGGGTATCCCCGTTTAGCATAAATGTTTATTTAAACGGGTATCGGTAGGGTTGTTCATTCGGTTAATTCGGTGGCCGAACCGACCGAACTACCATTAACCGAATTAACCGAATTTTTTTTTCTTTAACCGTTAATCGAACCAATTTTTTTTCGAAAATATTAACCGAACCGAATAAATTTCGGTTACTTCGGTTAAGTTTTGAATTAACCGAAATTTTTTAGAATTTTCGAATTTAATACTAGAGAGCAGCTGTTGTTCTATTTTATTATGGAAGAATGTGATGTTGATATAGGTCTCGATGCTGATTTTAATATGGCTAATTCACATGCTTCGCTTTGTCAGAGGAACGTTAAAGCTTGTGTAATGGAGACAGCTTGTATGAGGTTATTGGAATGCGAGGTGAAAATGAGGGTTGCTGTCGAAGAGACGAAGACAATATGCAAGTTGCATTGATTTTAAATTCTGCTGGACATAATTTCCAGCTTGCCAATGCTAGTGGTGGGCTTCAGATGTGTAATGGTGTACTGGACGAGGACCCTGCAGCAAGTACACGTTCGTTGGAAGTGGCACAATACCACCAAACCAACCAGACTTTTCCCATTTAACTAGACAATGTTTGTCTATTAAAAAGATATTAAAGGTTCACATGTGATTGCAAACAAGAAGTGTAAGCACTGTTTTCACGATTAAAAGAAAAAAAGAATATTATGAGATAGCGAAAATTGAGGTAAATTCTAGAAATTGAAGCGAGGACGATGTTTTAAAGTAGGGCAGTATGGGGTGAAAAAAATAATAAAAAATATTTAAGGGTTAATTTAAAATATGTTATTAATATTATATATAAAAAAAATAATTATTTTTAATATTTATCGGGCCGGGTAATTGGGTCGGGTAATCGGGTAATCGTGGTGGGGATTACCAAACCCATCCCTGTCCCCGTTTAACATAAACGAGTTTTTCCCATCCCCGTCCCCGTTTATCATCCCCGAACCGGACCCGTTAAATTCGGTTTTCGATTTTTCCCGTCGGGTTCGGGTTTTTTTTACCATCTCTAGTTAGCTTTACCAGTGCTTTTTGCAATGCTTTTTCTAGTACCAGGAAAGTTTTTAGTTTAAAAACGTCGCTATATGGCTAAAACTGTCGTTAAAAACCTATTTTGTTGTAGTGTATGTACTGAGAAAATTATGTTAGAAAGTATTGATGTTGACAATATCATCAATGATATTGCATCAAGAACTGTTCGAATACAATGTTTTTTTTATAAGTATTTATATGTTTAAATATATTTTTGACATTTTTGTGATAATGTAATGATTTACTATTTGTTTCATTTAATAAAAAAAGATTCTAATAGAAATTTTATATTATATATTTCTTAAATTTCTTTTGACTTAGGAGCCCATGTTTTATGTTCACCCCAGTAAAAAAAATAGTCAGCATCGACCCGACCAATTCAATAAGTCTTTTTTCTCCCAATTATTATTTAAAAGAAAATCTTGTTATATTTTTTAAAAAATAATATTTTTATCATTAAATTAATATTCCATTTATGTGTGAATAAAATTTAAAATTAATAGATATTTTTTTTCTAGAATAAGAAATTATATTTTTATTAAATAAAAGGAGAAAGTATAACAAAGACACCTGTAACACTTTAAACCCGATTGGGCCTAAAGTGTCACATTAGTTGCTGAGACAAACCTTGATTTTTAAAAACTGTTCATTTACATTTAAAAACATAACACATGATATAAAGATAGACATACAAGATAGTTACAAAACATTTTATAAATCGAAGCTGTGTGACACATAATTTAAAACCCAAAAATAATAAAATTATGAGTTATAAATATGAATACAATAATAGGAGTCCTATGAATACATATGCCTACAAAAGCTACAATACAATACTCTAAAAAAGATTTTGGAAGTCCTACTAAGATGATACTCCACGAACGACTATGGTTACCAACCTACAAATGAAAAACATCCAAACGCTGACCATACAAAGCCCAACAGTATAATCACTAATCTAGAGCAACATTATGAATCCTATAAACTAAGCATGTTAAGGACATGGTACTACACAGTAGATGCATGCATGATCTTAATAAAGTATTATCTACTTAAGGTTCAACTGTTCTAAAGTAGGAGTTTCACACTTCCCTGAATTATGTGTTACATGGCTTCACCACGAGTACACCTCTAAAGGACTTCTAGCCCTAATGACTGTAACTGTTACACATTCTCTAAATGCGACACTAACACTCTTGTGCATTATCTAAATGCAAAACTACTAGTATATGGTCTCACATATAATCAGTAAAATTCCCACTAAGCTGTTGAATGATCTCCTAGTCTCACATAACCATCAAGTAGATCATGGAAGGGAACCTGATGTCACATAAAATTGGTACAATTTTGCTCAACTAAAGCATTGGCTCAGTCTCACACTGCTGTCAAGCCAAGCTTTAAGGATATCTGATGCACTATACATGCATATTTAAGGGCCCTAAGTCCACACCACACTGACATCGCTAACCCACTTATTGTGAGTATTCGGGCCTTGCGCCCTAGTTAGCCACTGAAGTGCCTCGCGTACTGACAATGCCTCATTAGGAAAACTAAGATAGCCTAACTACACATTAGTGTAGCTCGGCACACTAAAGTATGGCTAACCCCTCATTAACTGCTATCATGCTTGTTCTCTTATCTAGAATGTTACGTGAAGGCTTATTAGTCTGTTATTCTTGATAATTTATTAAGGTTCTTTATTCTGGTCATTAGCACTTAAGGGTATTTTAGTTATTTCTGTCTCTATGTGTTTTATGATTTTTTTAACGATAATTGTGTTTTTTGCTCATTGACTATGATACTAGCTAGCTCGATACCTGACTCTGGTTTAATACTTAGTAGTTATAATCTATTCATTCTTATCATGTTTCCCTCAATTTACACTCGAAATAAAGAGACAATTGTACGTCCACTATTCGCTAACATTCCTATCGTAGATGATCCACTATTTCGTATTCTGATTAATTCGTCATACCACTTGTTGGTATATCCTCTCCCATGATCCTTCATTTTTAGATACTCGTTACGTGCTCGATTGAAGATACTTGGACACATTACACCTAATATGGTTACTTTAGTTGTAACTTACTCATACGAGTGTTTTGGCCCTCTTTGGCAATTTACATCCCTCATAGACTAAGTTCTACAATTACATATCATCCTTATCTCTTATGTCCCTTAAAGAGATTATATCTAACCATTCAAAGTGGGTTGTATCGATACTCTAGGATCAAGTAACGATACCCCTATGAGTATTGGTACCAAAAATGGGTTTCGTTGCTTGAAATTCGTCCTAAATCATCTAGTATTGACACTGTTCATCCAGTATCGATACTCAAACCAAAAAATATTTTATTTAAGCTTGGGAAACACCAAAAATACCCTAAAAGTCTTACTTTGGTTCCTAATCATGGGCTAAAGGTTTAGGAGGTTACCTAAGGTATTAAAGTGATATAAAAACACATTCTTTACATCTAAAATGTCATTTTATCTTAAAATCAAATATAAACCTTAAAATGCTCAAATACATAAATCTTAGCAATTCTTCATATTTATGAAAGCTTTAACACTCCAAAAGATTAGAAATACACTACTTTGGTCAAAGAATCTCGAAATGAAGTTTTTAGCTAGCAATCACTTTCCGCCAAGACTTGGATGATAAAACCCCCCAGTAAAAAAAATATCGAGACCCTCTGCCTTCTTTTTTTTAACCGAAGAGACCCATCTGTCTTGGTTTTGCTTCGGTTTTATCATATCACATGATAGAGACAAAAATTAATTTGTCTGCTGTCTTTGTTGCGTGTTGCAGTGTGAGGTGCTCTGGCCAAGGAACGTGAAATCCGATTGAGAAAGATTTGGGGTCAGTGCTGGCAGGGCAACTGATTTCACGTGGAGTGATGCAGTGGGTGATCAAATCGAGTCTGTTCGGGTTGTAATCGGGTAGGGTTTGCTTCGTGGGCTCGAGTCTTGAGCTTGTTGTAATTCAGGGCCCAGTTAGGCTTGTTATAAAGCATGTAAGAAAAATAATAATGATAATAATAATAATAATAATAATAATAATAATACTAATATATATATATATAATATTAACGGGACAAAATCGAGTGTCGACAATAATAAATTTCTTTTATTAATTCGATATAATAAGTTTAAATATACATACTTTAATATAATTACACGAACCAAGTGACCTCCATCGTAAATGAATTGTTGTTTCTTGAAAACCCGAGTTCGAGCACCATAGATGTAAGGGGTGTGAATGTTCATTGTCCAAAGGTTGAGAGTTATCTTTGAACAAATATTACGTTGTATTTACCCTAGACTAATAAAAAATATAATTATATCTTATTTAATTATTTATATGTTTATTAATATTTATTTAACTAGATCGATTTTTTTATTAAAATTAGATCGAATTTTAGAAGATTATAGAGAAGTATTAGAAAATATATGTTTAGTACCTAAACTATCAGTTTTTATCTATTTTAGTATTTAAACTTTCATTTTTTTCAAAAGCATACCTATTGTTTAATTTTTGTTTCATTTTAATACATCGTCGTTAAAAAATTAACACGTTTAGTACTTAAACTATCAGTTTTATCCATTTTAATGCCTAATATTTTATTTTTTTACATTTAACGTTAAGCTTTTACCAGGGTCCTAAATAAATAAAAATTAAATGTTAGATATAGTTTTGAAAAAATCGAAAGTTTAGATACTAAAATATATCAAAACTGACAGTTTAAGTACTTAACACTAGCGATGGCAACGAGTCAGATTGTTGGTCAACCCGACCCAAAAATATGCACCTCCACCTGAACCCAACCCGAAAAATATATATTCTCCACCGACTCGGACCGACCCGATATAAATGAAGAGTTAATTTAAAAATAATAAAAATTTTAAAGAAACTACATTATTATCCTCGGGTCAGGTTGGAGTTTTTTCACCTTCCACCCGACCAGACCCGACTTCACTCTAAAAAAAATCTGAACCGACTCTATCTGAATTTAATTTTTTTTTTTAAATTCGACCTAAACGAATGCGAGTGAAATTACCATTCTACTTGACACGTAATTTACCCAATATATTAAGGAACATGACACAACATGGTGCGACTTGGAAATAATATCAAAAGACAGGTAAAATGAAGGCTGAATTGTCAGTTTGAGGAACCAACCACCGTTTCTTAATCCACACTTTTCTATCCTTTTCCGCGAAAACTATTCTCTCTTCTCCTTTCTCGTTTCTTCTTTTGATTTCCCACTTTGTTCAGGTAACAGTAATCATTCTCAGATTATTTACTAAACTGCGTTCCCGTATGTCGAATTCCCACGATACTGACGCGGCATCGCCGGTGAAGGCTCCCAAAGCCCCAGCTGACGTGGATACCACCACTCCGGGGGTTGGATTCGGCGTCTCCGCCATTACCCGGCGTTGGCAGAGGGAGGATTTGCTGAAGAAAGGGTCCTCGATCGCCAGAGGATTCGCTTTCTTCCTCTCTTTGCTCACTTTCATAATCACGGCTACCAACAAGCATGGCGATTAGAAAATTTTTGACAATTACGAAGAATACAGGTCATACTGAACTCCGATCACAGTGAATTCGATCCAATTTTTTTAAAAAAGTTTAATTTGATTTCGGGATTGATATATTTGGTATTTTGTTCCGTCTTTTTTGCAGGTACTTGTTGGCAATTGCAATTCTGTCAGCTTTGTACACGGGAGTACAAGCGTTGAGACATGTGAGCGCGAAGCAAATATTGGATCAACGTCTCCCTGCCATGGTTGACTTTGTTGGGGATCAGGTTGCTTTTTCCAATGCTTTCATCATCTTATATATTACTTTCATAGTAATTAAATTGCAACAACAACGTAGTATGATAATACATCGTATCGTTTTTAAGATTATTGAGATACTGCAATTGCATCAACAATTTAAAAATATAATTATTTTTAGAGAACAAATCACGTCCCCAACATCACCGCAATCTTATATTATGATATGCATTCATTCTCGTTATACTACAAACTCGAGTGTTTCCTTGATCGAAATTTGATGATTAAAAACAGTAATCCATGGAGTTGATTGCATGTAGAACTAGTTTAGGACAGTTGAAAAATACTTTTTGATAAGTATATGTTTCTTGGTTAATGGCAAACAGCCCTTTATTTAGTGATACTTTTGCTATCAAAATCTGCTTTTGGATAGTTAAAAGCAATGCTAAACACACCCTAAGTTGATTCCGGTGTTTGTTTCTTTGCCTAACTGTATGCAGGTAGTGTCGTACTTGTTGATATCATCCGTGTCCGCGGCGATTCCGATGACGAACCGGATGAGAGAAGGTCAAGACAACATTTTTACCGATTCCTCGGCTTCGGCTATCAGCCTATCTTTCTTTGCGTTTGTATTGCTGGCAATCTCAGCCATGATTTCTGGGTATAAATTGTCTACTCAATCATACATCTGATCAATTGGCTTAGACTTGTTCCCAGTACAGGGTACAAAGCAGTTTCCATAGCTCTTTGTTGTATGTTCTATGGATTTGTAGTTATGGGAATACACAACAAAAGAAAATGTGAAAAAAAAGAAAGAAGATTTCACTTTGTCAAATCCTGAACAGTGTTCAAGTTTAAGAGATTATTTATTAAACAAATGAATAAATGCACTAGTTCTGTGTATTGAACACTCGGTATTTCCCTTTTCAAGACAGGAATCCATCCAGAAATGAATCATCTCCGGGTTCATCCTTGGCGAATACCTCGTTCGAGAATTGTATTTGGCTCATGTAGGAGCTGATCGGCTTTCCCGATCTCGAGAACCTGAATCCACCATAGTTGTGCTGCAGCATGTCCAATGTAATTCCAGAGTTGGTGTAACTTATACTGTTAGGTTGACTGGGGACAGCTGAAGGCCTAATAGGCATGGCAATGGGAGCATTAACGTTGTTCACGGTTGCGGTTAATGGCCTGTTCATCGCGTAGCCGCTTCCACGTGCGGCTGGAACATCATGGATGTGCTTCCCTTCGTAAGTTGTTATCACGGCTCCCAAATCATGGGACGCTCGCTCGACGTGTTTTCTAACCGGACAACCTATCATCGTACATTTGTAGTAGCTCCTGCAAGACATTGATGAACACAACAACAATATCAGCTACACATTCAATTTCCTATCAGTACACAATTAGGTGGATAGTAAATGAAATTGCCTTGGATTGGGGTTCCCTTTGACTACTTTCTGCCCATACTTCCTCCATCTATACCCATCGTCAAGAATGTCGACATCGCTCGTCGTTTGCACCACTAATCTCGGCTCTTTCAAGGCTTTGCTACCGCAACTGACGCCACCGCCGATCTCGTTTTCACCTTTCCTGCAAAATAAAGCATAAAACCATAAGCAAGAGCAGACACATCAATGGTGAGAGTATTGTTTTCGTCTAGGCCAAGCTTACCATCTTTTGGAATAAGGTTCATTTTCATTGATGTCATCACCATTACTTGTGGTCGAAGCTTTGTCGAACTCGTCTTTGTCAACGGAACTCGATGTCTCATCCTGCAACAGAAAGGAGCCGACCGATCGATCCAATATCTCGGACGACGAAGTCCGAGAACCTCTAGCCGATCGAGGCTTGGGATGGTTATGGCTACCCTTGTAAACAATCTCGGTTATCTGTCCGTCCAAAGAAGTTTCCATTTTTTTCTTCGTGGGACAATTCGGGTACGTGCACTTGTAATAACTCCGTGGATTCTCACTTCCTTTCATCTGCTTCTGCCCGTATTTCCTCCAATTATATCCGTCTTCAACCTTCTTGTTATTCAACTCGGGTTGTTGCTTCACGGTCTCACCGAAATCCCACGCCGGTTGCTCCACCGAGACCATGTCGCTCGACGGTGGCGGCCTCGGCTGCGGTTCGAGCACTTGGAAAGAGAAATCAAACGCCTTGAAAACACATAAAAAAACAAGAGTTAATTACCATTTATATAACATGAAAGCAGTGATTCAATTAGAGATTATTAAGAAGCATACATGCGAGTCCAGGAAATCAGTGGGGCTAAAAGCAGAAAAAGGGGAAACAAGAGCTTGGGAGGTTGGCAACGAAGAAGGAGAAAATGATTTGAAGTTCGGGACTTGGAGCGCCGGCCAGGCGGCGCCGGCGACTTGGTTAACGGTGTCCATGTGCATAAAATGAGAAGAAGCTGCCATGGAGTAGATTGAGAATCAGAAGGATGTTGGCCTATGATTTATAAGGTCTCCACTCTCCTCCGTGCTAAGCTTTTTTGGGTAAACTACTTGTTTAGTATCTAAACTATCAGTTTTTATCCGTTTTAGTACCTAGACTTACAACTTTTTTTAAAACTATGCCTAAAATTTAGTTTTTGTTTCATTTAGTACCCATGTTTAAAATTTATTGTTTAATTTTTTTTGAAAGTTTAGGTACTAAAACATACCAAAATTGATAGTTTAGGTACTAAACGCATTAAGTTTTTAACGGTGGGTACTAAAATAAAACAAAAACTAAATGTTATGTATGATTTTAAGAAAATTGAAAGTTTAGATACTAAATGTGTAGTTTACCCTTTTTTTAATAGTTTAAAATGATTATGAATAATATCTATTTATAATTTCTAAATACTAATAATATATATATATATATATATATATATATATATTATAATCGTAAGAAAATATTTTTTGACAAAAAGGCATATGAGGTCCCCAAACTTTTTGAAAAAATTAATGTGGCCCTCATCCTACCAACTCCAAAAAAGAACCCAATGTGGCCTTTTGAGGCTTTGACCAATGTTTTATGTCATTGATCAATGGTTCTGTTAATTCTTGCTATTATAAATTGGGTAAATTACACCATCTATCACTCAACTATTTTATTCTCTTCTATTTTGGTTATTAAACTCTAAAAAGTTTTTTAATTTCAAAAACTTTAGAGACTTTAGGGACTAAGGTTGTAGTTAACCTATTTTACTTTAAGGGTAAACTACACAAATGATCACTTTTGTTTCAAGGATAAATTATTAATCATGGGTCTTTTTGTAAACCCAAAATAGTTCAAGGACAAAATATCAATTTACCACTTTTTTCCATATGTTTTCTTTCCCAAACCTATCTTATCCTCTGTGCCGCTTCCCTGTTTCCATTTTATTTTCACGTAGTTTAAGGAAGATAGGTTTTGGGAAGGAAACAAATGAAAAAATAGGGATAAATTGATATTTTATCCTTAAATTATTTTGGGTTTACAAAAAAATTCATGATTAATAATTTATCTACTTATGGGTAATCTTTGCCCCTATAGCATATCTAATTTATCATTTTCATCCCCATCGTATTTTCACATCAATTTAACCCTCAAAGTTGTTTAATTGCATCATTTTATTCAATACCCTAACTTAAAACCCTAACTTATAAATCATATGTTAGGGTTTAAGATTTATGGGGTTGTGGTTTATAGGTTATGGGGTCATGGTTTAGGGTTTAGGGTTTGTAATTTAAGGTTTTAAATTAGGGGTAAGGTATAGAATGATGTAATTGAGCAACTTCGAGGACTAAATTGATGCGAAAATATGATAGGGAAAAAGTGATAAATTGAGTCTATTACAAGGGCAAAAGTTATCCTTTTACCATAATTTATCCCTAAAACAAATGTAACCCCCTAGACCCAGCCTATGCGTTTCGACTAAGTCTAGTGGCTCACATTATGATTCTTTAAGACATTTTTTTCCCGAAACCGTTATTCAATCAATGTAAAATCACATTATAAATGACATGAAGTTATAATAAATCATACTATCAAAACCTAACTTGTAAATATAATACCAATAAGTAATAAAATTAATTTAAAACATATCTTAAAAATCAAATCACGATAAACCGAATAGTAATAGCAAAAGTGTCATCATATTAAAATACCATACTTTAAAATAAGGTCCATGTTAACAAAATAAAGACAACTTGCAAGGTAAAAACATTACAATCAAATATACTTCAAGAGATATGTTGATCCTCCAAGTGCTCAATCCAGGGTAACTAACCAACAGTATCTGAAAGGGGAAAACATTTTCGAAAAGTGAGCTAGGCTCAGTGTGTCCCAATATTACCATAAAATCACTATAGGTACACTAAACAAATCATAGTCCAATAAGTCTCATAAAATTATACTGCAGTAAATCTCTTTAAAAAGCGTTACCCTAAGGGAACATCTTAGGGCCTGAGAGCCTACCCAAGATAGATTTCGGGGCCGTGGGGCCTACCTAAGAACACATCTTAGGGCCGCAGGGCCTACCCGAGAATAATCTCAGGGCCGCAGAGCCTACCTAAGAGTCACATTAGGTCTGTAAAATTTTCCAGCTTGATCAGAGCTGTACTTTATAATTTGTATTCCAAAAATTCAATTGCACCGTGTTATAAATTCCATAAATCCATAAACATGGTAATCATATACCATTTCAAAACAATTATCAGATAACGGTCATAATCCATAAATCATCACATTAAATCGGTGCATCAACAATACGAAAACCAAAGAATTCAGTGTACCACATATTAAAACAAATAAACAGTTCAGTAATAAATAGGGAACACACCTCGATAATATGTTCAAATCGTGGATCTACTGATTGCTGGTTTCACCACGCTCTGCTACAGTTTTCGAACCTAATTTATAATATCACTATATTACTAATGGGTAACATAAATAAATCTCTAAAATCATAAAATTTACGAGTCTTACGAGTGAATACTGGTATATGTGGTTTAACTGATCTAGAAGAGTTGGGTCGAGCTATCGAACGATCCGGAGAGTCTCTTGTACCTTCAAACAATAATAATTAATCAGCCCCAAATCTTACTTAATTGTTCAAAGCTAGAATTCTTAAGTATATAAGCATTTTTCGGGTTTGACTATCATTTTGGGGTATTTCGAGTCTGAATTTGGCCAAACGGACTGCGGAATCGGAATCAGGACGTCGAAAAACATAAAGTATGACTTTTTGAAAATTCAGATTCTTGGTCAAAGTCAAAGTCAACCACTTTGACCGTAGATTTGGAGACCTTCGGATTCGAATTTAACAAAACAGACCACGGAAACGGATTCGGCACATCGAAAACTATCAGGATAGGTATACTCGGAAAAGATTAACGGTCGTTTAATGCTCGGTCAAAGCCATTTTAAGTTTTGGTCAAAGAAAGTCAACGGTCAACGGTCAACGGTCGGGTCGGGTCGGGTTAACGGTCGGGTCGGGTCGGGTCAACGGTCGGGTCGGGTCAGACCGGTCAAACCGATTCAGACCGGTCAAACCGATTCGAACCGGTTGAAACCGGTCAAACCGGTCAAACCGGTTTCCAGCAGCCACTCGCCCTGCGGCGGCGCGTGTGGCGCGTGAGGCGTCCTCCGGGGCCCTAAAAATCCCGGAAAAATTTCTAAAAATTATTTTGAGCGATTTCAAGATACTTACAACGATCGGTTCAAATTTTTAAACGGCGGAGAGCTCGATTTCAAATCGGCCAAATCTTTGACTGCACCACCTCCTCACGCGCCGCCGTCTACGGCGGACAAGATTGACACCGGTGAACTCGGAACGGCACAAGGAACACGATGGTGCGGGAGGTGTCGTAAACAGAGCAACGATCAGCGGTGAATTTAAGATTTTCTCGGCGATAGAGCTAACAAAACCGTCGCTACTTTGACTGGAAATTCCCGACGTTTGGCCGCGTTTCGCTTCAATTAATTTGAAGGTTTTGCTCCTCGCTCGATGATGAACACAACGGTGGTTTCAAAACAACGATCGGAATTCGGACGGCGTCGGAATCGAGTTTGGAAGTTGTGTGCGTGAGGAAGGATTTGTGAAATTGATTTCTGTTTTTCAAAACAGAAATCACGCATATATCAATTGTCTGCCGACACTCCATGGTTAAATTCAGGGCTTGGTCCCTGAATTTTCTTTAACTTTAAAACAAGCTCCAAGTTTTAAAATCTTTCAATTCAGTCCCAAATTTTCACAATTAAACCCTCAAATTTTAATTAAATATTATTTTGAAAATCGGGTTGTTACAATTCTCCCCCTCTACAAGAAATTTCATCCTCGAAATTTACCTTATGAGAATAGTTGAGGAAACTGAGCCTCCATTGACTCCAATGTCTCCCAAGTAGCTTCTGAGGGGCCTCGATTCCTCCACTGAACTTTGACCATTGGAATTCGTCTATTCCGAAGAACTCGTTCATCTCTCTCCAAGATTTGAATGGGCTCCTCTTCATATGACAAATCAGGTCTCAGCTCTACTTCTTCAACCTGAATAATGTGACCTGGATCTGGACGGTATCTCCTCAACATTGATACATGAAAGACATCATGAATACGACTTAGCTCAGAAGGCAACTCAAGCTGATATGCAACAGGTCCTACCCTCTTCAAGATACGAAATGGTCCAATAAATCTTGGACTCAATTTACCCTTACGCCCGAATCTTAATACTTTCTTCCAGGGTGAAACTTTCAAAAAGACCCGATCTCCCACTTCAAACTGTATATCCTTCCTTCTTTGATCTGCATAAGATTTCTGCCTATCAAATGTCTCTTTCAGACGGTCACGGATTAATCTGACTGTGTCCTCCGTCTCTCGCACTAACTCAGGTCCCAACGTTTTCCTATCACGCAACTCAGTCCAATAGATCGGAGTGCGACATTTACGACCATAGAGTGCTTCATAGGGTGCCATACAAATACTGGTCTGATAACTGTTTTGTAAGCAAATTCAGCCAACGGCAAAAAGTTCTCCCAACTACCATGAAAATCGATTACGCAACCCCGCAACATATCCTCCAGAATCTGAATTACTCTCTCAGATTGACCATCAGTTTGTGGATGAAATGATGTACTATAATCCAATCTTGTTCCCAAAGCCGTATGTAACGCCTTCCAAAATCTCGAAGTATATCTCGGATCTCGATCAGAAATAATAGACAATGGAACACCATGCAATCTGACAATCTCTGAAATATACAATCTTGCCAGCTTATCCAAAGTATAATTTACTCGCACAGGAATGAAGTGAGCTGACTTTGTAAGTCTGTCAACAATCACCCAAACAGAATCTTTTTTCAAAGGAGTCATAGGCAAGCCAGTAACAAAATCCATAGTAATACGCTCCCATTTCCATTCAGGAATCTTGATAGGCTGTAACAAACCTGATGGATGTTGATGTTCTGCCTTAACTTGCTGACAAGTCAAAC